ACCCGTCAGAACCGCTTCGCCACTGGCGCTTCCAGAGAGCTCCTGCCTTGGCCAGGAAAAATCACTTCAGGTCCGCAGCACTTTCCTGATAACAGAAACCCTTGCAAACAAGCCAGCCCCCAGCCAAGAAGCATGACTGCTGTGGGAACAGGAAACTAGAGGAGCATATTCCCCTTCCATGCCAAAAAAACCAGGCTCCTTCCCCAGCCAGCCATGCAAATTTAGCCTAAGGGTTTTCAAAAATGACCAGTGATTGTGGGTGCCTGAGCACAATGCTCCCCACAACTGCCGTTCTTTCCAGAAAACACACGCTTCTTGCAATCAGGGAGTCAGCCTGAAGCCTGACAACCATGGAGACCCCAGACCACCTCCAGAACCACCTCGGCAGGCCTGATCCGTGAGAGCCGAACAGCTCAGCGGGCAGGGAAACCCCATAGCATGCAACCTGCTCTGATCATCCCGCCATCCCAGCTGTGTTCCATCAACCTGTTTCCCCAGCTTCCTTTCATAAATCTTGCGATTGCCACTCAAAACTGTCGAGGGTGCTCGGCAAGCAGGGGCCTGGTGGCAGAAGCAAGGCTCCATCCATCATCCCCTCTCCCGAGTCAGCACCAGCTGCCTCCCAACAAATGCTTCTTCAGAGAGCATCCTTGCAAAGCACGAGGTGACCCTTTTAGGAGAAAGCTGCCCAAGGGGTGGCTCAGGTAAAGGCCCAGGAGGATGCACCAGCTTTTGGAAAGGTCTGCCAGAAAGCAGACACTGCTGAGCCCTGTCTTGGCTGAATCCATCCACCTGTTAAGCGTCATCAACTTCGCTCCGGCCCAGCCTTGCGCTTGGAAACACCTCCCTGTCTGTGCTCGGGAGACTCACCATAAAAGACCTTCAAAGCACCTTGAAAAGTAGCTTTGTAAAATCGGCGTGGTAGCGGTGGAAACACACCACAGCCCACGGCAGTGGCCTCAGCTCCGGCGCTTCCCTCCCCTTCCCCTCGTCCCGCCTTTCGTGGCATGACAGGGCACGGGCTCTGCAGGGCAGCTCCGTGTTTGCACAGCGCTTGCTGACGGCTGGGACCACAGCTAAGCAAACACCTGCCAGCAAGCCAGTGCCCACTCACGGCTCTGGAAGTGGAAACCCAGCACGGGTTGTCAAACAAGCGTGCTCTGAATAACCCAGGCCCTACCCCAGCTTTCACAAAACAAATTAGTCATGGGGCACCAACAAGAGCAGTAAATTGGTCACAACAGGAGACAAAGTTTGCAACTGAGACTGCATTCTTATGTGCCGGAGACACCCCTTTCCTTTGGATCCTGCCTTTCTAGACCCCTCAGAGGCAGAGGTGCTTTGCATTTTGCTTTAGATACCAACTGTTGCTCAAGAAGTCAGAGATCGCTAACACCCAGTCCCAAAGAGCAGCCCCAGGCTTTCCAGTGAAATTTCAAGGTGGTTTTGTCCACCCACATTGGCCACAAGGGTCTGTCTTTAGCAGATCATAAAACGTGACCCAGAACATTTGCAATGTTTGACCGTACAAACAAGGGCTCCAGTATGGGTCAAATGTGCCTTTAAAGGTTTGGATACTGGGGGCTTTCACAGAATTATAGAATCATCAAAGGGACCTTCCAAGGTCATCTGATCTAACTCCCTGTAGCAATGAGCAGGGCCATCTTCAACTAGATCATGTTGCTCAGAGTCTCTATCCAATGTGACCTGGAACGTTTCCAGGGACGGGTCATAGACAACCTCTCTGGCCAACCTGTGCCAGTGTTTCTCCACCCTCATGGTCAAAAATGTCTTCCTTCTATCGAGTCTGAATCCCCCCCTTTCAGTTTAAAACCATGACCCCTTGTGCCATCATAACAGCCCCTGCTAAAAAGCCTGTGCCAATCTTTCTTAGAAGCCCCGTTAAGCACTGGAAGGCTGCAATAAGGTCTCCCTAGAGCCTTCTCCAGGCTGAACAGACCCAACTCTCTCAGCCTTTCCTCACAGCAGAGGTGTTCCAGCCCTCTGATCATTTTTGTGGCCTCCTCTGGGCCCACTCCAACAGGCTTTGGGGCATTGAGGAGTTACTTTTCCTCTGAAAGAGGAGGCAGGAGCTGGTGGATCAACCACTGCTTTGGCAACGTGAGGAGCATTGTGAGCACCGCTGGGATGACGTGCAACCCGGGCAACTTTTGCCAACACAGATGTATCCCCTACAGATGATGTAAGCTGGGTTAGCAGTGATCACAGAATCACAGAATGGTAGGGGTTGGAAGGGACCTCTGTGGATCATCTAGTCCAACCCCCCTGCCAAAGCAGGGTCACCTACAGCAGGCAGTTCTGCCAGTCCTAAATGCACATATTTCAAGGCCTTTGCTGAGATACGATACCATTATCTGTCACCAAAATGGACCTTTACACCAGCAGACATCTGCAGCACAGGCTTGACCTAGGCACACATCTGTCTGCTGAGCACAGGGGCGTTGCCTTGCGAAATACTAGCAGGTTGGTACCTGCATGAGGGCTTGTTTATGAGTGGGTTCATTCATCATCAGCTAACTTGGCACTGTTCTGTTTGCAGAAGGCTAGCCTGCAAACGGCAGTGTTTTACCCAGGGATGGAGGAGCTGAGAGGAGATCCCATACACAGCAGATTGAAGCTATGCACAGTTTTACATCTTTTCCAAGGCAAAAAGGAAAAGGAAGGAGCAGCAATACGGTACCTGACAACGCAATAGCAGCAGATGAAACCAGAGGTGCTGCAGGGGTACCCCTACGGAGTACTTCACAAGCTACCCTGCCGTGGGAGCTGGCTGGGGAAGACAGGGCAGGAGGATTACAGAACTGCTCATCAGCAAAACCAGAGACCAGCTCTCCATAAACATTGCCAGGCAGGGAATAAGCCAGTGAGGGGCTGCATCCCGCAGCAGGGCCAGGAAGGGGGAGCAGGACCTTCCCATCCTCCTGGTGCGGCAGAGGGGCTGGAGGAGCTCTGCTCTGCTGCGAGCTGACATGGGCTTTGGCAGAGAAGACACCTCCGCCCTAGGGAAAATCATGGATACACACAGCGAGGAGAGCGCCCTGGCCCAAAACCATTTACATGCGCAACACACAGCAAGGGGAAAAGCAAGGGCAGGACGGGGCGTGGAAGGAACAGGCAGAGCTCTGGCACAAGCAACCGATGCGGCAAGTCGAGTGTGGTCGAGCTGTTGTGCTGGCAAGTCTACAGGATCCCAGTGTCAAACCATGCATTCGAAGCGGAGGCAGATAGGCACGAAAAGTAGGAACAATCCGACTACTGAGGAAAATTACAGCTATCGCTGAAGGTGGATTGGGCGATTCCAGCATCTAGAGGATGATAAAACACAACAAAGAGAAGCTTAAAAATTAATCCTTATTTAACTGCTTCTGAAACCTGTCAAAATCACTGCCTGCATCTAATTTGCTCATGGACCTGTCCGCAGCTTCTTAGGCTGCAGGGGTCACAGAAGCAACAGAAAGTCCTGCTTTGTTCTCAGGTTTGAGATCTGTTTTGCCCACTAAGTGCTTTCAATGTTTCCAGCTTAGGCGTACTCAAAAAGCTCTTCCAAGCAGGAGATGGGTGAAGTATTCCACCTACAGCCTCTCTCAGACACCAGCACCAGGAAGAGAGAGAGAAATAACATCACTTCAATACAGCAGATATATCCCAAAACCAGGGATGCTGCATACATGTATCTATCCCGTAGGACACACTGTGCCTCCAAACACTGGATCAATGGGCAGCAGGTAGACAGCATCAGCCCAGTGCCACATCTCTGCCATGGCTCGCTTTCAAGTGATTCAGAGAAAAAAACTGAAAAATAAGTTATGAATCTCCTCCACAAAGCCTCGGACCCACTTCCAACAGCTGGAGAGGCCAGTAGGTCTTGAAGCAACAGATTTAACACCCCATCTGACATGCTCCTTACAGTTGTCTAACTACATTGTTGTCTAAAGTTGTCTACAGCTACCAAACTGCCTGAACATCCACTTGCCTTTCCAACCTTGATCTACTTTTGGTTTCCGCAATATCTGCTATCACCAAGTTTGTTTTACTTACTGTGCATGTGATTCACCCGCACTTTGCTGTTGGAACGTGCATCCAGCCTTCGTCAGAAGAGAGGATGGGATGACTACATTTGCTTCCTCTTATTTCTCTTTCCCCATCAGGAGTTCCCACGAGCATTTCACATGAGAGAAATAATCCAGCAACCCTGCTCAGAGTAGGGTCACCTACAGTACGCTGCCCTGGACCATGTCCAGTTGGGTTTTGAATATCTCCAAGGATGGAGACTCCACCACCTCCCTGGGCAAGCTGCACCAGTTCAGCTACTTGCATGGTAAAAAAAGGGTTGCAAGTAGAATTTCCTGCATTTCAATTTACTTCTCTCATCCCACCAATGGGCATCACTGAGAAGAGCCTGGCTCCATCTTCTCTACTCCCCCATCAGGTATTATACACATTGGTAAGATCCTCCTGAGCCTTCTCTTCTCCAGGCTGAAGAACCTCAGCTCCCGCAACCTCTCCTTGTATGACAGAGGCTTCAACCCCTCTGTTATGTTCCCTGCCCTCCACTGGACCTACTCCAATGTGTCCATGACTCTCTTTTACTGGCAAGCCCAGCACTGGACACAGCATGCCAGATAAGTCTCGCTGGGGCTGTGTAGAGGGGAATAACCTGGTCATTTTTGAATGGCTCAGTTTTCTGATTTTGCTAACCGTTAGAGTTAACAGCAGCTGCTACGAACTCTCTATTGAGCTAGGAAACTGCCTTCCCAATGCACACCTTGGCCAGAATTGTTGGGCCTTGGCATTTTTTGTGAACACAGCTTTGTTTCCTACACCAAACAGGGGCACTTTCAAAAATTTTATCCCATCTTTGTATTTTCTTCAAAATAAAAAAGCATTTGTATTCTTGAAAACAATAACAGGTCCCACCACTTGTCTAAACAAGACACAGAAAGACAAATAGAGTAAAACACACAGTTCTGGGATTATAAAAGCTGAAAGCTTTTTTCCTAGGACTAATTTTTAAAAAGAAACAGTCCCACAGTGAACAAATGCTGCTTCAGGATGGGTGCCTCTGACCCCTCTCAGTGGCCTCAGATAGTCCATTTCTCTGTACGAGCTTCCACACTTTTGACCAGGCCTTCTCCCAAAACCTCGAAGTCCTCCAGAATTGCCTCTATGTTGGGTACGCAGACCAGCTCACTGTTCTGAGTTGTCACCATCCTTCCTTTCATGCTGGAGACCTGCAGGACACACACAAACATTGCGCAAATGGAAGCACCCGCTCAGAGCAGCTTTACAACCTCTGCAAGCCCCAAATAGCAGCAAATTGTTCTCCCACCTTGTCACATCCAACACCTGCCACACCACTACATCCCATTATCGAAGCTTCACTTCTCAACACCATCATGGCTCATTACAACAGCTAATAAACTGCAAGAGTGGCCTTTTCAGTCCCTTTTAGGTTTTACCGTGGAGACACAGACCAAGACGACAAGGCGGGAAGAGAAGCAATGGCCAGGGGGATGGTGGAGATGGGAAAAGAGCGTGTAGGTGCATGGCGGAGCTTGAGTGAGCAGAACAGACAGGCTACGTGACAGCGACCACAATGTGGTCCCGAGTAAGAGCTGCCCGGGCTGGGGTCCGCTCTGTTGTTGGGTGTCAAGACCTTGAGAGGGAAGACCTCCTTGGCTTCACCAGTAAAAGAAAACCCTCATGTTTAATCAAGCCACACTCTGCTCAGATGCAAGCACTGCCTCCTCTCATTTCACCACTCTGAATAACTGGGTTTCACAACTGCAGCTAGGCTGAACAGCCAGTGCCCTCTGGCCAGGAAGAGAGGGGAGATCAGTCACCCAGAGACTGACAGCAGAAGAGCCTGGGCTGCCAACTCCGAGCCATGAGTCACTGGTTTCTTTGCGTCTTTCCTTCATAGAAAGCAGCATGAATCACTCCAGCGTACCTCACACCTAGCTTAACCACCCTCTAGAGTTTGCCAGCCCACACAGTGTAGCTGGAAAATATCTCCACACATCGATAGGACTTGGGCACTATGACCCTAGGCTTGTCACTTCCGCTTCTTGCGTGTTGGGTATTTCTTGGGAAGATGCCCAAGGCCACGAGAATGGGATAGTCTGCTGCACACACCAAATGTCACAGAATCACAGAATCACAGAATAGTAGGGGTTGGAAGGGACCTCTGTGGGTCATCTAGTCCAACCCTCCTGTCTTTGGCAAACAAGGCATCGCCCACCTCCCAGGACGAGACCAGAGGAGAGAACCTGGGACAGAGACCTCTGTTCTGACCATGATCACGGTGCCGGGGCTTGTCCAGGGACACATGTTCCCTTCTCAGCTCTGCTGATGACTGAGGGCACTGTGGCCACAACCCTGTCTTGGTTTCAGACTTTCTAAAAAGGGACAGAAGTATGAGCTCCATTTCTCAAAGGGCTTTGGGGCTGATGAGATTTAGACAACACAATCACAATGCAGGTAAAAAGCCCTCCCAGCTTTCCAGTCATAAAGGTAACATGAAGCTTAAAGCAGAGGCAAGAACTCACCTTAAAAGGCTGAGGCTGAAAGCTCAAAGGCTTCCACAAAACTGCAATCACTTCGCCACCATGCTTGTCGTAGAAGAACAAGGCAAGATCACTGAAGGCATCCTGAATAGAAAACAAACAAAGTTTGTGCCAGACGTCCCAGAGCCAGAGTCCACCCTGGTTGAGTCTCCTCACACAAGGACACACAGTAGCTCCACACCAGCCAGGACTGAAACTGCAACTCTTCCAGTGAAGTCCCAACAAGGAAAGCAACTGACAGCCCATGGACAAACCCTAAGTGCCTCCTGCTGCCTCTTTTCCCCTAGCCTTGATGGATACGGTGCACTGCCTCCAAGTTTCATCGCTGGCTACCTCTTACTGTCCCAGAAAGCAGAAATATGATCCACCACCTCCCACAGGCCTGCAAGAGTGCCCAGAAATCAGCACCCAGATTTAGCACATTAGACCTCCTAGTTGACAATCCACCAAGTGTTCCTCACCACGGTCATGGGGGACCTGCTGCATCTGGCACTACCAAGCTGTCCTCTCCCAGCATCCAACAGCCATGTCCAAGACTTCGCAGTGCATCAGATGGCAAGAGGTGGGCCCGCACAGCAGGCAATCCCGCCACAATAAACTTCACTACACGGCAGCAAAGACCAACCCCAGTCAAGGACCTTCCACTGGAGGCCAGCATCGCGAGCTCTGAAATGCATGCAACAAAGGTATCAAATCTCCTTCTTCCCCCAGGACAAACCTCGTGCGTGCTGTCCGCACACAGTGTCCCAAAAGGAAATGTAAAAGTGGAAATTTTAAGTAACACAAAGTCCTGTGAGGTGCAAAGAGGTGGAATGCTCAGAGACACTGCAGGAATCTGCTCTTCTTGCGTTTCAGCAGCTGTGTCAATGAGTAGCTCCTTTGGTGGTGCTGGGCAGAAAAGCTCAGGAGATCTTGCATAAAGAGATGACTAAAGTCCACAGTCTGGTTTCCCCCAAGCCCAAGCAAGCTGGATTCCCAGCACTGCAGGAAGGCAGGGGATGAGCATTGCAGCAGACATAAACAACCCTGTATGCAAGCAACTTTTTGAATGCAAATGTCTGGTCCTACAGCTCAGCACCCAACGTGCTGGTACCTGGATACACACATCCTGAGCGCAGCTGACCAAGACAGCCAAGAAGCTGCTCCCTGACACTTGTTCATCTTGGTGGAGATTAAGACCAGGCAATGGCACATGTCTAGCAGGCAAAGCCAACAGCCCCCAGCATCACTACAGGACAAGTTTCTGCACATGGCCTCATCAGCTTTGGGAGCAACCCACTGCAAGAAATACAGACCCTCTTCTCCATCTTCATCCTCACCATCCCCTTAGTCTCCCCAGCTGCAACTCAGCTACGCTTTTACAAAGAGAGGTCTCTGTTGGCATCACTGTATCGTGAGGTTTTCATGAGGATGTGCATGAAAAAAAATCAAAGGCAAGCCTGGAAGGGGTCTTGTATGGACATACCAGGATGGCAGTAGGAGGAAAAAAAGATGGATTGGGTTGGTGTTACCTGTGATCCCAAAGGGTGGGGTGGCATTTTAAGAGTAAAGACCTGATAAGCAGGGAGGGGTGGTATTGTCTGCAACCTTCAGAGTCAGCTTTATGAGCTAAGACTTTGAAGTGTCACAAACAGTGGGCAACACGATTAGGACATCAATCTGGGGAGATCCTGAGAGCTGCCAGCTCATCCCTCTTCATGGATCTTCAGGGGGACAATGCTGGTCAAGGCACTACCTCCCCAAACTGACTAGAAAAAACACTGTCTAAAAATAGACTGAGAAAGAGACAAGTTACGCTTAGAGCCCAGTCAACAGGGAACGCTCCTCCTTTTGCCGAAAGGCAGAGAGCAGGAGGGAGGGAAAGCTCAACAGAGGGAAAGAAAGCTCAGGGCGCACTGACCGCCAATGTGCAGCTTTCCGAACCGGAGAGGAGCAGAGCATGTAAGAACCTGAAAAAGCCCTGCTACTCCACAGGGCAAGGTCTCGAGTCCCACGTGACGCTCCCTATGAGAAAGGTATTTTTTTACAGGCATGTCTTGCTGGACAGGAGCCAGGAGCATTTGCAGGAAAGGAACCCCCCCAGGCTCAGCTCATTTCCCAGTAAAACCACTGCTCAGCCTGATACCCATCACCTTTTATCCAGACAGTGGGGAGCAAAGGGCAGATGTTAAAAGGATGGCATCCAGTTCAAAATCCCAGCAATGGGCAAGCTTCTGCACTGGTGCTGCTCCCAGTGTCATCCACGTGAAAGCGCTTGGGCCAGCTCCACTGAGTTGTGCAGAGGCACACTCAACTCCTGGGAAACTGCAGCATTAAAAGGGTCCGGTGTGTTAGTCACCACACTTGTGTGTGTACACAGCCGTGAGGAGTAAAAGCAAACAGATTTCACCTCCCTTTCCACATCCCATGCGCCATGCCCAGTGCTACTGGGCTTGCCTGAGCCTGCAAACACCTTCCTCAAGGGAAAGTTTAAGAGAAAAGAAAGAAAATGTAGGGAGTGCATTTGAACCCCTATTCCCTTCTCAAGCTGCTGCTGTCTTTGGTTGCAATTCGGCTTTAAAGCCTCAGGGGAAGCTCTCCTTGCTCAGATGGATCCCTGCCATCAGCAAAGCCTGCAGAAGGATCCCATCTTGCAGAGGCACAGAGGACCTGCGAGCTCAGGGCTGTGATCTGCAGGAGCCTAATACTCCAGGGAAGGGGGGCACATGGCACCTGGAAGAAGATTAGCTCAAAGTCTGTAAGGAGCCATCTGGCTTGTTTGAATGAAAGGATGCAGAACAGTGGCAAGTAAAACAATACCCTGATCTAAAATGGGATTACTGGATTAAGCAGCTCAGGCTGAAGCATGGATTTTGCAATGAGGTAAGTGCTCACTGCTAGTTAAGCAACTACACTGTTGTTGTTTAGGGGTGGGTTTTTTTGGCCTAACCATTTATCCACCCATTTTTTCACTGCTCCTACTTATATTCAGAGGTTGGGCTCACTGCATCACAGCTGCTGGAAAAACAGGAGCTGTTTGGGGAGTTCTCTGCACCTGAAATGTGCCTAGCAGCTCTTCCTGGTGCAACAGCAGTTCAAGTGGCAAATGCATCAATCAACATTTCTGCAGTGCTTAGAATATTTTAAGTGTTATCAGCAAGAGATCTACCAGTATAAGACCCTATTAAAGCTACTTACTTCCAACAAACTACATTTGTGGTTAACATTTAAAAGTTCTTGTCATCCTATTGCAACCTGCCCCGATGCTCACAGGTTACACGATACGGGCAGAGCCTTCCCCCATGCCCAAACAGAGCAAGGAGCACTGTCGAGAAAACCAGGCTGGGGTTGCTTCTGTGTCAGAGGTGCTTTAAAAGAGAAAAGAAAGATGGGTGTTAGGTTTGGGATTCACCAGGTAAAAGGGGTTTTAAACTATCCAAGCTTTTCCACCTCCGAGTGCCTCATGACAGCCACAGGCACACCCTTGTCCCAGGGGTTTGGGGCAGTGGCAAAGAAGTATGGCATGGAAGAAAGCCACCCGTGTTCTCCTGGCTGCATGAGCAAACATGCCTTGTCCACTGATCCAACAAACCACCTGTGCTGAAAGTCTTCAGTTGCTCCCTGTGGGACGAGTCCGAGGCAGACCTCTACAAGGGCATTACCAACACCGAAGCAGCATAGCCACAGCTGCCCTCTGAGCACACCCAAGGAGCACAGGGGCTGGCGCCTCAATATACACATGCATGCCCGTGTGCATATGCACACACATGTGCATCCACCCCCAACCGTGGGCACTACGCTAAGGGTCACACAGCTGCTCTGAAGCTCTACAAGCGGGGAATTTCCTGGCACCTCTGCCCCTCCAAGGTCACAGATCCAGACAGGAAAGTTTCCTCTGTGCCATGAAAGTCCACAGAGCTTTTTCGTCTCTGCCTGTCTGGAAGTCTCCATAAAAGGACTCAGGCCTGTCAGTCAAAACATGAATGCAGCGGCCTGACCTGAAAACATTTCACCAGTTCCAGCTACCTCCTGTGACCACAGCTTACACGACCAGTCTCAGTAAGAGACTGAGAACTTTTAATATCATTTATTTCTTCCTAACATGCAGTAGCAAGATATGCAT